GGATCAGCTGGGAATGTTCTGGGAAGAGGGACTTGGCTGGACTTTGGGAGAGGACATGAGAGGTGGGGGAAAGCATTCAAGTCTAAGGCAAATGTCAGAAGAAATGAGCAGAGGTGGAAAAGCATGTATGTTTGATTGGAGAAGGGTTATATAAGGACTGGTCTTGAAAACAGATACATGCACCCCAGACGTGAAACAAGACAACCCATAAAGCTGTGGGAAGAAATGAATAGAACCTCTATTTGTGGATTTTTATCTTTAAAAGCATAAGTATCATCTGCTATTATGCTTTATAAGGAAAATGTGTGTATCTTATATACAGGTATACCATCCGTGGAAGCACATGTCTACAACTGTATATGTAGAGCAAGACCTTATCAACAAGGGAGTTTAATCTTTTCCACCGGGTGTTGGGTGTGTCACCTCCATGCACTTCCAACTCTGACCACTCCCTGGCACAGTTGGTCCAAACGTGGTTTGTCTTTTTCAAGTAAAACTCCTGGTAATCAGGATTTGTGCCTATTTGGAATGTCTAAACGTTGTCAAGACAACGAGTACCAACTGAGGGCAATCCTAGATGTGGTCTCTTCTGTTTCTTGTTTAATGCCACAGAGAGACCCTCCTCTTCCTTTACCTCCCCCATCAGGGTGTTTTTCAGGTCTGTCTGCAGAAAGGAGGACAGAGCAGAGAGGGGGGAGATATTGGCATAGGTTGCATTGCATCCCTTCACCCCCAAATTCATACATTGAAGTCCTGACCTCAAGTACCTCAGAATGTGACCTTATTTGGAAACAGGGTTGCTATCATGTCATTAGTTAAGGTGGGTGGGCCCTGAATCCAGTGTGACCGGTATCTTTATAAAAGGGGAATTTTGGAGACAGACACACACACAGGGAGAATAGCATCTGAACATGAAGGCAGAGGTCAGGGTGATGTGTCTACAAGCCACGTAGCACCAAGGATCACCAGCAAATTTCCCGAGGTTGGGACGGGGAGAAGCATGGGGTAGATTCTCTGTCACAGCCCTCAGAAGGAACCAATCCTGCCAACACACCCTGATCTCAGACCTCCAGCCTGCACAACTGTGAAACAAAACATTTTCATTGTTCTACACCACCTAGTTTGCCCTAGAAAACTAATACACATACCAAGACTTTTTTTTTTCCTTTTTTTAAATGCAATCTTCCAACTCAAGTGAGTCAAAATGAATGCAATCATTCACTGAATGCTCGGCAAGACCTAAGACTTCAATGAGCTCTTTCATGATTAGGATTCCTGCTGGGGCCACATTTAAAAGCCAAATTCCTTCAGACCCACAAGGAGGTTCTCCTGTCAGAGAGATCAGAAGGATAAATAGGAAAATGGCCCATAAATGCTGCGGAATAACGGTGCTTACTCTTTGTGGCTTTTACATTTTATCACTTTGCACTATGCGTGTGTCATATGCTTGTCTGTCACCTCGCACAAGATTGTGTTTCTCCAAGGCTGGCTGAAAGCCTTGGGCATGATAATCTCCTGTGTCCACCACCGAGCTCAGTGGCTGAGCCGGAGAGGGCATCTGAGAAGTGCTGGATGAGTGAGTGGGTGAATGAATGGATATGTGAACATCTGTTTCATCTTGTCTGCCCAGCGCCTGTTCCCTCTCTTTCTAGAAACTGCACTCCCATTTGGCTTTCGGGAACACCATCTCTCCCCACCTCCTGGTGCACAAGATAATGTGTGGCTGATTCCTCCACCCCAGGGTGGGGCGCAGGGCCTTGGCCTGAACTTATCGCTGCATTCTGTACCCTGGGCCACCCTTGGCCTGATTTCTGTAATTGCTTACAGGGCTGACAGCAGGAAAAGAGGACACAGAGGTGAAGCACCCCAGTTTGAACCAGCAAAAGAGAATGAATCCTGAGTTTGAGGGGAAGTTACTAGGAAACGTTCTCTAGTCTGCTTGACTAAGTGTTGTGATGGCATCAGTCTGAAGCTGTTGGAGATCGTCCCTCACCCCAGGAGCCTGGAGGAAGCTGGGCCGAAAAACAGACCCTTTATGCAGCCCTTTGAACCCTGAATCCTGTTGTAGATCCACACGTAGACTGGACAGGAATGTGAGCTCAAACATTCCCCTTTCTTTTTAACCCAATTTTAATTGGGTTTTCTTTCTTTCTTTTTTAAAAAGAACTGTGGTAACTAGGCCGGGCGAGGTGGCTCACGCCTGTAATCCTAGCTCTCTGGGAGGCCGAGGTGGGTGGATCGCTCAAGGTCAGGAGTTCAAAACCAGCCTGAGCAAGAGCGAGACCCCGTCTCTACTATAAATTAAAAAAAGAAATTAATTGGCCAACTAAAATATATATATAAAAAAAAATTAGCTGGGCATGGTGGTGCATGCCTGGAGTCCCAGCTTCTCGGGAGGCTGAGGCAGGAGGATTGCTTGAGCCCAGGAGTTTGAGGTTGTTGTGAGCTAGGCTGACGCCACAGCACTCACTCCAGCCTGAGAAACAAAGCGAGACTCTCTCTCAAAAAAAAAATAAAAGAACTATGGTAAGTATATATGAGACAAAATTTACCATTTTAACCATTTAAAAATGTACAGTCCAGTGGCATTAAGTAGATTCCCATTGTTGTACAACCATCCGTCTCCAGAACACTTTTCATCTTCTCACACTGAAATTCCATTCCCATGGAAACCACTCCCCATTCCCCCGCCCCCCAGCCCCTGGCAATCACGGTCTACTTGCTGTCTCCATGAATCTGGCTACTCTAGGGACCTCAGATAAGTGGAATCACACACACTCTTTGTCCTTCTGTGTCTGGCTTCTTTCACTTAGCATAATGTCTCCAAGATTTACCCCTGTAGCATATGTCAGAATTTTCTTCCTCTTGAAGGCTGATTAGTATTCTATTGTGTCTATCCATCCATCTGTGGATGGACATTGGGTTGTTTCCATATTTTGACTATTTTGTGAATAACGCTGCTATGAACATGGGTGTACACATGCCTGTTCAAGTCCCTGCTTTCAGTTCTTTTGCGTATATATGCAGAAGTGGAATTGCTAGATCATATGGTAGTTCTATTTTCATATTTTTTTGCCATACTGTTTTCCATAGCAGCTGCCCCGTTTTATATTCCCACCAGCACTGCACAAGTAATTGGGTTTTCTGTTAGAACCCAAAGATTTCTTCCTGATACAGATCCCACCCCCCATCCCTGCTCCATCGCCAACTGTCCCTCCCCAGGAAGCAACTACTGTGGTCTATTCAAATAATTAATCCCCAGTGGTACATAAACATGCAGAAAACTTGAGGCTTTGCCTGGGGTGGTGCTTTAATCTCCTATCAGTTTTCAGCAGGAGTGGGAAGTGGGCTATTATGATATCATGCCATGCTCTTGGCCAAGTATTAATAATTCCATTTCTTTTAATCCTTGCTCATAATCATGTTTACCACCCTTTAAGCCCTCTGTGGGGATCTCCCTGGAGAGATTATCACACAGATCACCTTCTCTAGTAGCTATGGGCCCCAAGAGGTCCCAACACTTCTGACAGTCATAGGTTGGCCATCCATTCATACCTGCACAAGTGTCCAGCCCTGCACTGGCCTCATGGGACCGAGGCCCCATTACTCATCCCTGACAGAGTGGAGGAGGAATGAACGGGACAGCTGCCTGAAGCAGCAGAGGGAGTCCCTAGAGACTTCTTTCTTGGATATTTTTAAATAGACTAGATCTCCACTGTCTGGGTGAATTCCTCCCCAAAGGAAAGAGAAGGCATGAGGTGGGGTTTAATAGCCCATCAAGTTCCATTCAAGCTCTGTATTTCTGTACTTATTAACACATGCACAGAAATGAGAGGTCCAAGAACCAAAAGGCTCAAGACCAAAAGGGAGGCACCATGGTGAGCAAGGCTAGGCCCTCATCAATGGAAGAAATATGCTTCTCAAAGAGCAGAAAATAACTTGGAGGTTTTAAAAAAAGTCCAGCCTTAAAATATGAAAGTGAGAAGTTATATCAAGATTCAAAAGATATGGGATGATTTCGAATCCTGGTTCCCATCTACCATGTCTTCTGACCTCCTTAGCCTTCTAGAACACACCTGTTGGTTCTACCTGTAGCAAGAGGTGGAAGCAGGAGGGATGGATGGGAAGGGGGCCCTTGTTAGTCACCTCTTGTTGTCCATGGCCAGAATCCCAGTGCAGATGGGAGAACCTGCCCTGGAGCTGATTAATTTCCAAGCAGTAGCCTTCTCTGCCTTGGTCTCCACTAAATGAGGGTAAGTGAAAGTGACTAATGAGCATGGTCCAGGATGATGACTAAGAAAGAATCACCCTAGGTGTGAATCTTGCACCACAATTTATTTTCTATGTTACATGAGCAAGTTAGCTTTTCAGTGCCTCAGTTTCCTCTTCTATAAGGTGGGATAATAATAATATCTCATCATAGTTTCGTTGTGACAATGAACTCATTCTTACTGCTACAAATGATAAAAAAGCTGTAGCAGGTTCTAGCCAAAGTACTTCTGAGTCTTGGAAAAAGAAAAGTCACCACAGGAATCTTGCTTCCTCTTTGCTGTCTACCATGTCCAACCTACCTGTCCGGGGCCTACGTACAAACAGGTCGCGTTGTCGTGGCAGCCACCTGTGCCGGGCAGCAGGCAGTTGTTGATCTCCACGCAGTCCCTCCCGTTCCCTGTCCAGCCCTGCTGGCACACGCAGGTGTGGGTGCCCACGCCAGTTTTGATGCACTCTGCCTGTGGGAGGGAAAAAAAAGCAAAGCCTCTGAAACCTCAATTCAGCCATGATTCCGAAAGCTAAAAAGAATTTCCAGAGATTTGTTCTAGAGACACATATTTGCACTGGGCGCAGTGGAAATGATTGAAATGCTTAACTTGCATTGAGATCAATGAAAATATTAGATGATTTAAAGAGCAAAATTGCTTGGAGCTGGCCAGCTAATGGCCACCACCCCTAACATCACTATGCTGTTTATTAAGCCAGGGACTGTTTTTATTGTTTTGCAGGTATAAACAATCATCTTGAGGAAGGAACTGCTACTATCTCTATTTTATAGAAGGAAACAGGTGTTGCCCAAGGTCATGCAGCTGCAAAGAGGCATGGACCCAGGTCCCTAAAACGTGGGGTGAGGAGCCTAACACCTATACCAGCCCCGGGGCTCTCAGGAGGACACAGCAGGAGGCTGTGGGGCAGGCAGGGGAGGACAGAGAGGTACAAGGTGTGTTGTTGAGATGAGGCTGGGGGCGGGGTGGGGGGCTCACCCAACGGGAATCTGGTGGGCTGGGGCCAGGCAGCTGTTCCTAGATTTTATTCTCAGAACCACGGGGAGTTACCCGAGGGGGTTATGCCTGGAAACAGCATGATCTGACTTGCTTCAAGCCACCCTGGCAGTGAGTGGACAATGCACTGTGGGTAGGCAAGAGAGGACGCAAGGACCCAATATTAAACCTGAGGGTAAGAAAGGAAGGTGACTAGGGGGCAGGTGGTGGTGGTAACATTTGAGGGGCATTAGTGAGAGCAATAGTGTGTTCTGGCTACACTCCGAATAACAATAGAACTTAGGGCAATTCACTTAACTTTCCCAAGATTCTGTTTCCTAATTAGTAAAATGTGGATAACAATATTGACTTCACCGGGTTGGTGGGAGGAGCAACAGGTACATTAAAGTCCCTTGTAAGCTGTAAAGTTTGAATCAAGAGGCATTACTTTTGACCTCAATATCTACTTCTCATGCTGTGTTTTTTCAAGCCCCCTGCACATCTGGATTTGGAGAGTGGAGGTTCATAGAAAGTACACAGCAGCTGTCTTTAAAATTCAAGTGCTTCATGCATATGAAATGTGATCAGACACTGCCTTTTGGAATGCCTTCTCTCGGAATTTCTTAAGCAAACAAACAAAACCTGCAAAAACAAACAAACAAGAAACAACCCAGGCAGCTTGGAAATGAAGACCAACACTCACATTGCGGCTGCAGCCTCCTGGGGTTGATCCCGTGCAAGGGCCCATCTCGGAGCAGACAGTTCCATCTCCTTCATAGCCTGCTTTGCAAATGCAGCTGCAAAGACAAGTGCACAAAATCAGCCCCAGAAATGTAAGCACCATCCACCCAGCAGAGGGCCGGCCAGCCAGCGGTGAAGCGGTTCACCGCCAGGCGGCTGGACAGTTTGCTCATGCAGAAGAAGCCAGGGTCCAAATGTGGTCAGGGATGCTTCTGGGGTCTGCCGTCAGACACACCTGGCTGGGAACCCAGGCCTCACCCCTTAGCAGTTGTGTGTGACCCTGCACAAGCCCTTTAACAACTGGGGGACTTTGTCTCCACATCTGGAAAATGGGTATAACCCCTCCCACATAAGGCTGTGGTGAAGATGGAATGAGTGGATGCGTGCAGAGCTTCTAGCAGTGCACCCACGCTCCGTAAGTCCCAACACCTGGTGGCATTTCTGCTCTTACTGGACCAGAACCTGCCTCTTTATAAGTCTTTCTGCTCAATGCTAGTTATGAACAGCTCTGCCCTTTCTCCTATGTGACAACTCTTAAAATATTTGAAAATGACAGGTGAGACTTCTCTCCTTGCTGGTCCCTCAGATATATTTTTTCCCCCTAAACACAGCATTCTCAGGTGCCTCATTCTGTGAGTTGACATAATTTCCTGACCCAGCTCCCTTTCACACACACCTCTCAAAATGTCCCATGGTGATTTGTCACTACTAAATGTGAGCCATTCATTCATTGATTGGTCTAACCAATGCATATTGAGTGCCCCATGATAGACGCTGGGGACACCGTGTGGGCCCATCATGTCCCCATGTCCTATTGCAATTCACTCATGGGCTTCTCAAAAATCAACAAAAACATTTTTCATGCATCAAGTGTCCTAGAGGAACTAAACACTTCAGCTGGCGTCCAAATGAAGAAACAGGTTGATCCGTTGCAATACTGTTTGACTTACCCAAGGTAATATAGAACACAGGGACCCATACCAACAGGCCTCTGCCGGTGATTTAGGAAGTTGTAAGGGTACTTTTGATTACATGTGCTTTTTGCCTTGTGCACTGGTGTAGATCCTAACTCCTTAGGAAAATGCATTTCTATCATAAACTATGGAAAACAAAAGTCAGCCTGTGGCCACAGGTAGTCTGCAGTCTAGTGGTGGAGGCAGACCAAAACAAGTAAGCAAATAACCAAATATTCCCAGAGAGGAAAATTTCCTCCGGCATTCCCCTTCCCCCCCCAAACCCACTGCAGATGTTAACATTAAGAAAACAAACTGTTGATCTATTGCCTGAAGATCCAATTTCCTGCAAGATGCCTTTACGAGGGGAGCTATTTATTAACAGCCTTAGGAAGTTAAGGCATTTTCAAAGGTTGCAAAGTTGGTGGACAAATCTTCATTTCTTTCACATGTGTGATGATAGCAATTACTGGCTTCCATGAAGGAACACCTGTGATGTGCTTGCTCTGGTGCTGGGTGCTTTTCCATATGGTTCTTTTATTAGGTAGACATCATCATCTTTATTGTTCTAACAAGGAAAGTGAGGCTCAGAGAGGTTAAGTAATTTGCCCAAGGTCACACAGCTGGTAAGTTTCAAAGCAAGGGGTGCTGCAATTTGAGGTTCTGTTCACAAAAGCCACACTGCCAGCTGGAGAGAACAGGCCTTGGTTTACAGAGCTGAGATATGGGTTGGCTCCATCTGCAGGTAACACGGTGGCTTCGAGTGGTTAAGGGCCTTCTCCTCACAGACCCACCTGGCTGTCCCATTGCTGTATTCACAGGTGGCGTGGATGTGACAGAACTGAACGTAGGGCCCACAGGCTGAGGTCTGCTTGTCACAGAGTCTCCCAGCGGAGCCGTCTCTGCACGTGCCGGGCAGGCAGGCCCCATCACTGTCTATCCTGTTGTCGCATGTTCCGTGAACACATAGACATTCTGAAAGAGGAGGAGGAGGGATGGCAGGACTTGGGGAACAAGCCGAGCGGGGAGGCAGGGCATCCTGGGGGACAGTGACCACCCCCTCCACTCCCACTCCTGTCAAAGCCGAGCCTGGACATGGAACTGGGGGACGGCTTGGGCCTCTGTTTCTTAGGGTCTCAGCCATTTCTCAGAGCCTGGGACAGCCTTTGGTGACTTCCCTAGCCAGGAGCAGAAGAATGCAGCCCAGGCTACTTCACGTGTGTGTGTGTGTGTGTGTGTGTGTGTGTGTGTGTGTGTATGTGAGGGAATGTCGGGGAGGGGGTGGGTGAGATGCTGTGAAAGAGGCCAAGGAACTCAATTTTCAACTACTTCCTTGTCAGACTGTTTAGCCCAGGTGTCCTCAAACTACGGCCCTCGGGCCACATGCGGCCTGCCTAGGACATTGATCTGGCCCCCTGGGTGTTTTTGCCGCTGCTGCCTGTCCTGCTTAGCAGCCAACTCGTCCCGGGCCCACAGTGCGCATGTGTGGAGCTATTCTGGCACAAATAGAAGTGATTTCTCTTGCTGGCAGGGCCCCTGACATGCAGCTCGCCACTCTATCCCAGCAGACCAGTGATAACTAACAGGCGGTATGTGGGCAACTGACTCCATTCAAGGTGCTGGGTCAGTCTTTCACATGCACTATCTCATTACTATCACATGACTATCTCATTAATAGTCACCAGTCCCAGGAGGTAGGTATTGATACTTTTATAATGCCCATTTTTCAGTTGAGGAAACTGAGGGCCAAGGAAGTAAGGCAAATTTCCAGCTTGTTGCGAAGTTTCCAGGCAGAGGTATGAACCTGGGTTTCAAAGTCCATTTCTATTTGGGACTACGTGTAGACCACAGTAGACCATTATATTAACTGGTGTTTCCACTTCCTTGTTATCATTTTAACCTTTAGCTGCTTAATTTGCTTTTGATTATAGGTATTTAAAAACTGCAGCATGAGCCAGCTCGTCAAATTCAGCCTTCTATGCACGTGGGAGCAAAGAGAAAGATAGGGAACTTCTCAAAGGAAGGTAGCGAGGATTTGAGTCCCTGAGATACAATCGGAAGTGAAGGAGTCTGGGGTCTAGCCCCAGGAGGGACTGATGGGAGAGGAATTAGCGTGGGTGCGTGGGGCCAACATCCAGGAAAGAGAAGACAGACACGAATGAGGGGGGCTGGAAAATCACAGCTGGATTTGAAACAAAAAAGAATTTTTATACAATGCTAAGTAAGTCAGGGCTTATTTTCCAAGGAGCAAGATCCAGGCATGAGATCATGGGCAGCCACAGGCCCGGGATGAGAGGCGCGAGACCCGGCAACCCCCCAGCCTCAGCATCCTGCCCCACTAGCCTCAAACCAATGTCAATGTCATTTGGTCTTGGAATAAACCCCTATTTTTTTTTTTTCTCCTCAGAAATCTAATTTGGCAAAAAGAACACTGGAATAGGATTCAGAGGCCCGGACCCTGCTGTGCTCCGGCTTCCTGTCCATCTTGGGAGGGAACTCTGAGGTCAAAGGAGGTAGAAGCAGGGAAGGGGTGCGTGTTTTGTGACAGTGACAAGAGTGGCTTTGTTTACTGATCACATGCTGGGTGCAAGCTCTGTGGCAAAAGCCCCAAATTATGGTCTAACTTAATCCTAACCTTACAAGGCACTTACTATTATTATCACCCCCATTTTACAGATAAAGAAACTGAAGCCTAAAGAGGTATAGTGACTTGCCCAAGCAAAGTCACACATCTTGTACATAGAGGAGCTGATGGGAGAGATCTGCTTGAAAGGTAGAGAGGGAATCTGTTCTTGATACTGAACCCATCATCACTTCTGGTATGTGAATAAATCTTGAGAGAGTGGTTTCGAAGTGTGGTCCCTAGACCAGCAGTGTTGGCATTCCCTGAGAACTTGCTAGAAATGCAGATTCTTAGGCCCCATCCAGGCCTGCTGAGTCAGAAACTCTGCGAGTGGGACCCAGCCCTCTGGCTCATGCTCTAGTTTGAGAATCAGAGCTTAAGAAATGCCCCGGGATGATGGCAATCCCCAAGCAAAGGGGTCCCAAGACAGCTGGCCTGCCCCAGCAGCCTGCACCAGCGCAGGGGGACCCTTGCTTAGGAGTGGAAGGAAGCTCTGGAAGCGCCACTTACTTTTGTCACACCGAGGTCCATATTTATCGGGATCGGAGCAGAACTGGCACTGGGAGCCTTGGAAGCCGTCCTTGCAAACGCACGTCCCGTTGCCACCGAGGCTGTCTGCACACTGGGAGCAAAGGCAGCGCCCGTGGGCTGTTAGGGCACACGCCGGCGAGGAAACGTTCATCTAGATTTTTCATTTCATGGCCCGACTTCTTTGAACTCAGTGGTTCAATCTCACTTGAAACGACTCTTTGGAACTCCTTGTGAAAATTGAGTCGTGTTGGGGTCAGGTTGGATGCTAAAACAGTGACCAGCTTGGGGATCCCCAGCCAGGACTTAGACTTTAAGGGAAGTCTCTGAAGGGGGGTCGCGATGGTGAACTGGGAACCTTAAAGCAACGCTCACAGGGTAAGTGGTAAGACAGGGCCCTTCAGATTGCCTGGCCTTTCTCTCTCTGCATCCTCACTTAGCTCTGTGACTCCACGCTGTGGTGTTTTCTCTCTTCAGTGGTAAACATACCTTCCTCCCACCTCCCCAGCCCAGGCAAGGCCAGGTTTATATTGCCTGATGTACATCAGAGTCGGGCACCACTGCCTTCCCGACCCCATGCCCGCAGTCCTTAGACTGGCCTCTCCCTGTCCTCCCTGTCTGCATGGTGTCCCCACTCACGGCTGTAGAGGTTTTCTTTCCCCTTGGAAGAACCATATTTTAGATGTGGATTTATTAAATGCACAGATCTATAATTTCCCCATATGAATCACAGCTACTATTACCTTTGTTTAGCTTTGGCCTCCAAGCTAGATGAGTTAAGTTTTAGCCTCATCACTTCACTAGGTTTTGCAAATAGTTAAAAAGGCAGTCACTAGGCAGTGCTTTAAAAAAAAATTTTTTTTTTAAGTATCATACAGTCTTAGTCCTGGATGGCATCTCAGAGACCAGTGCAGGTCAATCCTGATGTCTCCCACAAGGAAAGTGGGAGTTGCCAAGGTCCTGCCGTCGGCAATAGGAAAGCAGAGACTAGAAGCGACATCACTGGACCCTCCCCCTTCCGTCCTCCCATTGCCAAGACCAAGTCCTTCTACTGCAGACACCTTCGTCCTTTCAGTAACTGATTGGTTGCTTTTATTTCCTGGGAACAGCGGCCGGCATTGTATCCCTCTTTGGTTTAGCAGTTTTAAAAATTATTATTTGACTTAAGAACAGTCGGCCTTCAGCATTCATGAAAAAGTGTGCATTATGGACTGTCGTTCTCACCTGTCCATTTCCCGAGCATGGATTCAAGAAGCCTCCTGGACACTGGCTGCAGTCGGGCCCGTAGAAACCTTTGCAGCACTTTGGTATCTGAGAAACAAAATGCATGTTGTGCTTTGAAATTGCAAGCAGAGCTCCGATTCCTCAAAGGGGATATACTTTAATTTCCATTATTGTAATAGACCCTTCCTTATGAGCGTGGCTTTTCCTTTGGCAGATGATGGCACGACTAGTACTCAGCCATCTGGCCACCACGAGTCTACTGAGCACCTCCCATGGCTGCCAGCCTGGCCCTGACCCTGTGCGAAGGAGACAGTTGATGGCTCGAGCTCTCATGGGGCCAACAGTCTAAGCCAGAGAACAGACAATAAGTAAAGGAACAAATGAAAAACTTAGAGAAGATCATTTCAGAGGATGGTAAGTGCTGGGAAAACAAAGTACTATAATACAGTGGTGGCAGGTAGGGCCAGGGGTTGGAGGCTGGGGCTGGGGAGGCCACTGCGGATTGAGTGGGGACAGAGGCAGTGACAGTTAGTGGAGGCTTGGAAGACGAGTCAGCCCCAGGGAAATCTGGAAGCGTACCCTGAGAGAGAGGGTGGCAAGTGCTCCAGGTAGGAATGAGGGTGAGAGGCAGTTCAGAGCCACAGGCAGAGGGGGGGACCACGTGGGGGGGCGTGTTGGGAGTGTGGGCTGTGTGTTAAAGGACAGTGTGACGCCAGTGGGGAGGTTGCCTGGCCACCATGTAGAGAATCCAGCCTTCTGTTCCCCTGCAGGAAGACATCGCCCCATGGGCCACCTATGACCATGCAGACTGGGGCCCAAGAGCATGGCCCTGGGGTTGCCTTGCCCTGGTGGCCTGGCCCAGTCCCTTGGCCACACGCTCCTCACCTTCATGGTGGCATTACAGTACTGGGCACAGCCAGTCTTTAGGCTCCTTGTCCTGCTTCTGTAGACACATCTGTGTGTGAAGAGTGCCTGGAAGAAAGCCGAGAAAGTGAGGCAGTCTGCAGGACAAGGTCCTCCGGGCCTCACTCAGCTTCTACACACCCTTGCCACTCATGAGGAGATTGCTCTGGACCACACCAACACCTATCAGAGCCTGGGCACTCTCTAGGCCTGTTTCCTTGTCGGTGGGATACAGAGTTTGCACATTCCATGGCTCATGTACCTTTACGCTCTGTCTCATGCCACAGAAGACATCTTTAATTGCCCAGGAATCATTTTCTGTTCATCCTGGGTGTGGCCTAGCCTCTCCTTCCAATCTACAGCTGTCCCCAATCTCCTCCTGTAGAAATGTTGGAGCCAGTAAAAAGTCTATCTATACTTTGTGGAACAATCCACCAAATAAAATAGTGATGGTCTGAGTTTTTCTTTTAGGAGTAGGGGCGGATTAAAATGCACCTGTCCATTCTCTAACCCCTGGTGCCCAGTCCTAACTGTCTAGAACCACCACTTCTGAGAACTTACTGTGGGCCAGGCACATTGCACGTATGAGTGCATCACTCTTCAACTCCATCTGGATGTTTTTCATGATGGAAAAACATAGATAAGGAAACCAAAACTAAGGCCCAGACAGGTTAAATCATTTTCCTAAGAAACATTGCAAGTATAAGGTCCAGAGAGTGAGTCTTGTCACCTACTGACTTTAGTAGCATAGGCAGGTCATGTGGTCTCTGCGGGCCTGAGCTGCCTCATCTGTGAAATGGGACAATAATGCTCATAACAAGTTTTTGTAAGAATTTAAGCCCTGGCTCATATTTTTGTGTTAGATAAATGTTTATGTCATGCTTACCCCTTCATCTTAGGTTCTTGCTCAAGAAGGGAGAAATGAGATCTTCCCAGGGTATAAAATCCTAAAATCTTAGATATATGAAGGAATTCTGAGGTCACCAAGGGGGGAACATTACAGTCCTCTTGCTGGGGCTCAGGATAATTAACTAGGTATGGATCATGGGATTGGGGAGGAATGAGTGGGGGGCTCTTTTGGCTCCTATGGAATCTAGGATGGTGGTTCAACTTGCAGAACACACCAGGGCTCTGCCACACATCAGCTGTGTGACCTTGTGCAAGGTATTTTGCTTCCTTGCCTTAGTTCCAATCATGCATTGGTGATGATGATAATAAACCTACCTCAAGAGATTGCTGCACAAAGCATAAAGCATTGAGAACAATGTCTGGCACCCAGCATTCACTGTGCTATTAGCCAACACCACATCCTCTTCTCCTTCCTCTCGTGTTCCCTGGCTGGTGGCATCCTGAAGGATGCAGGGGTGATGGTTTCACCAAGCACAGTAAATATACGAACACCTGTGCCTATTTAATTTAATGTTTTGTTTTTATCAAATACTTCATAATAGGATTAAAGAGCTCATCACCTTCCACAATCATCTTTAATCAGTTTAATGAAACTTCTGGTTGGCAAGTTCTTTCTTATGATGAACTCACAGGCAGAAATTTCTATCATCATTTTTACTGTAGAACACTTTGCTTTTTGCAACCAGGAGAGTAGTTGGCATAGACAGTATAGATTCTTGTATAGATATTGTTGTATGATGGTCTGTTTTCCTTTTTAAATGGAGCTTCCCAAGAACAAAACAACAAAAAAAATCTATATCTTATTCATCCTGTGCCTCTGCAACCAACCACTGTGTGTAATACATGAGCAATCCTCAATAAATGCACAGAATTCAATCAAACTTGAAAGCTTTTGATAGTCCTAGTATCATTTTCCTGATGTTTCTTCTATTTCTCTTCAGAATTATGCTTGGGAAGAGCAAACACAAACACTAGATTTTATGTAAGAGGGAAAAGTAGAGAGGAACCGAATGGCTACTTGACTTAGGAATTATACTTTTTTTTTTAAATCTATGCTAATCCTATTGTTGTTGTCATTGTTATTATTAGTTGCAGATGAAGAAAATCAGAGCAAAAAGGTTAAACAACTCACCTAGTATCAGGGAACAAGGATTCAAACACAGGTCTGAGGGCTCTCTTTTTACCATCCCACCATATAATAATAGGTTAAGAGCAAATCTTATTAGCAATTGATATCTTTTAAAGAAGAAAGGCAGAAAAATTGAGAAACCACACCAGTGGGCTTGCTCGGGTGAGGTGTGGTTTCGGGAAGCTGTCACACTCACTGTGGGCTCCGAGTTGGCAGGACATTTGCTCCAGTGCAGCAGGGAACAGCTCACACAGGTGCCCTGGAAGGAAAGGCAGTAGGTCAGTACATGTGTCCCTGTCCCTGGCTTGATATGTCCCTCCTGGTGCAAGGAGCTCCACTAGAGCCACACTCCAGGTCTCTCTCCCACACCCCAGGGAACAGAGCAAAGTAAATCCTGGGAGTTGGAGGGAAGTTGGGAGAAGGAGCTGAGACTGTTCAGAGTAGCCCCTTCCTCTCCCTCTGCCAGAGCCAGCCTGTCCGCAGGCCTCAGGCTGCTGATCAACTCCCTGCAGGCAGGGAGGCACCTGTCCCAGAGGAGACACTGCAGTTGTCCCTCTGTACCAAGACCACAGATGTAAGGCCTTGTTCTCCAACTAGCTTAGCAGTACCAAGGCTGAACGCCGAATCCCTGCTTTTCAGTCTCCCCGATTCTCCTGCATTGGTTCTGAAGTCAGGACAGCAGGA